TGTCGTTCGCAGAATCGTTCGGGCTGCGCTGTTTCGCGTGTAAACTTATTCGTGTTCTCTCTCTCTCTCTTTCCCTCTCTCCCCCTACTCGTAATTTCCTTCATCCCAGTAAACACACTACTCTCTCTCTCTCTCCCCCCCCCTCCCCTCCTCGCCTTCTCTTTCTCCTTTCCATCGTTCATCTTTCTGTCGAAACGCGTTCGCGAGAAGACGGATATACAACGTCCCGTCATCCGAAGCTTCGTCGATCGCTGGCCGAACCACGATTCGTTAGAAAGGGAAAACCAGTCTGTGATACTAAGCAGTACTAAGCAATATATTTGCATATATATATATATAAATTTAGAGGTGTAAATTAGCAGTGTAAAAAGATGCGCGCGCTGCCGCGTATACGTGTGTGTGTGTAGGCGTGCGATCTCGGAGAGTGATCGCGCGCGTTCCGTGGCGTGTGCGAGCGCGCGCGCGCGCGCAGTGTGTGTGTGTGTGTGTGTGTGTGACGCGCGGCCGTGCGGACATTTTTGCGTGTGGCGCTGTGTGTGGGTGTGTTATACGGTGCCACCGCTCTCGTGTATGGTGTACGAGAGCGTAGAGAGATCGCATCTCGAGGCAGATAGCGAATCGCACAGGAGAGACACGGGAACACCGGTATCCGCGCAGGACACTCCATCCAGGACCCCTTCCAGCGGTCGACGAAGGACCGACGTTGATCGACGACGCGATGTCCGTCGAGTCTGTGACAAGTGACAAGCAGCAGCCACCGCCACCGCTACCGCCGACGGTGACGATCACCCCGACGATAACAACAACAACGGCGACAACGGCGTCGACCGCGACGACGCCACCGATAACGACGACGACGACGACGACGACGGCGGTAACGGCGGCTGCGACGGCGGCCACGAAGAAGGAAGAAGGTATGAGTCGAGATTGATCGACAATTTATTTTCTTTCTCCGTTCCGGCATCTCCTCTCGTTTCAGAGGCGATGCTGGAAATCCAAAGATACACGGCAGATAACCTCGCTCGTTTGTGATAAGTCTAGTCTCTTTCTTTCTCTCGTCTGACTTTGCCAATAGAACTGCATTCTAAAACGTTATCCTCTTCGAAGATCATTTTACTCTTAGAAAATATATAATACATGTATAATGTGTACTTGTTCTTTTTAGTTGAACATTTCTTTCATCTTTCCCCTTATTCTTTTATGTTAGAGGAGGGAAAAAAGAGATAAATTGTGTGTGAGAAATTTAGTTAAAAAAAAAAACAGACTTTGTGTAAAATATTTTCTCTGGAGGAGAAATGTAGCCTAGATTGACTGTGATCTTGGTTTAATTTTTTATCTTGTTCTAGTTCTAAGAATTAGACAAAGGATAAAGAGTAAGTTAAATCGAAATTAAAATTAATCTATATATATATATTGATGGAAATGGACATATTTCTTTCTCTCGTTAGTCAATCAATTGGTCTGTTTCCTGTTCCTGCAGTAGAACTCTCTTTCACGCTTTTGACAAATACATTTCGAACAGATATCTACTTATCTTGCTTTTTTAAGTTCCAAAACACTAGTCACAGAAAACAGACTTAATATTTGTTAAATGGTTCTTGATGTTGAAAATGGTGAAAAAGAAGAAAATTCAAACATAATAAAATGTTGATTCCTGTGAGGTAGAAATCAACGTGAATTTGAAGGAATACATTTTTGTGCTTCTATGTTCACTCGCTTGCTGAAATATTGCTGCAGAAGACTAAAATTACTTACTTTAATCTACAAAGCGATCTATTTTCAAACTGCTCGATTCCTTTTAGGATACAACCAATATAAATGTTTTATTTTTGTTATTCATTGAACAACAAAGGATAGAATGACACTTATGTCGATTGTGTTTCCTAAAAGGAAAGCAGCCCATGTAAATATAGACTAATTTACGGAGAGAGATTACTCTATGCAAGTTAAAACTGAATCAACACACACAAGTCTCAGCTTGTTTTATTTTACTAAATCCTTAATTTTTTCTTCGTTTGTTTTTTTAAATTTATTTTTAAGATGTATGTAAATGGGGATTGTCTTTCTTCGCCTTTGTTTAACATGTTTATCTTCTAGGACTTGTGGCATTATTATTGGATTTTTCATCATTTATGTTCTTCTGCTCAGCCTATTTATCCATCCTCAGTAAATACTTTATTGAATTATCAGAATTTCACCATTTTTTTCTTTAAGGTACCACAGAGGATGTAAGGCAAAGAAGATATAAATAAATTCCTAGATTAAATAAAGAATATTTTTTCACGTGTATTTTAATATCTAATAGGATGCATTATTTTATGAGATCTGATTACACTGTGTCTATTTGTGCGAATTTATGTATATTTCTTGTTATAGGATAATCATAATTTTTGAAAATTTCCCTAACAAGAATCAGTTACATTTAAATCAGTCCTGTGTGGCCAATCACACGCTCCCTTATCTAGGATTTTCTCAGGAAGGCTTTGATTGGTCTGTAACAGAGCTATCTTGTCTGAGGACGATTCGAGTTCAGTCTGTATTTCGATACTTACAGGACGGTTTACATATATTGCTTCTATACCAAGTTGTGCGAGTGTACTTAGAACAGGATACGTAGAAAACTGATAACATATAAAGTCAAATATATAATTATTTCAATAACGGAAATATGCGATTCTAAAACTTCATATATTCAAAAAGTCGGACACTTAACAGTTTTCCTCTTTGCGAAGAAACACGAGAAAAACAGGAATTTGTTTTCCCAAGCTGCTTTGCTTTAAACGCGAGTGTACTTAGAATCGTTTCATCAAGAAAAAAGGGAAAGAAAGATAAGATTCCAATATGTTAGATCTTGCTGGAGGTTTTTTTTTTATTAATTCTTGAAGAACGGAATTTTTAGAGACAAACCGTTTGTGTGCGTGTGTGGGGAATAATCTCACTTTCTAATGACTTACGGAACAACGTATTCGTGACGGAACTTTATCTTGGGAATTTATTGACCCTCATTTGCCCTTCACCTGTTTGTTTACATTTGCCGGAGACAGTCGTTGCGCGAGGAAACCTCACGAACAGTTAGATAGGATAGAACAGATAAAGGCTTTCTCGCAGTTGGCTTATTCGAGGTAAAACGAACGTAATTATACAATGAGACTCGTCGCCGTCGAACGATTTATCGGTTCGAATTGGTATCGCCGACCGCGGAAACGACCGCTAGTCGGCCCGACTGGGTCACCTTTCTTGGATATCCTGGTTATGCAAACCAGATCTTGCCGTTGGTTCCGAAAAAACAAATCTGTCAATTCTCTAAAGCGAGTGACCTTCCGTAAGTACAACCGCGTTGCGCCAGTTTTTCTCTGATCGCATTTATAAGAGTGTGCAGTTAGAATTCTCGGTAGATCGTCATTATTACACTTTTATGAGATTTGCAGCTCAATGAAGCTGCCCGAGCCATATTTTTCTCATATTGCAATTACTTTATATTGTTTTTTTTTTTTTAATTTTATTTTACAGGAGATGAAGCCATTATTTCAATGTCGGTGGCTGGTGAGGTGACTGACGCTTCAATCGTGGAAGTAGGCCGTTCTAGACCACAGTTTCAATATTCTCGGGTAAATATTACTTTGGAAGTGTTGAAATTTTTCAAAATAATATGCCAAAAATAAAAATAAATCAGCTTTTTATCGTGGAAGATGAATTTTCAGTTATAACTGCAAAGAGCATCTGTGGTACAACAATGTCTGTTTTCCTGCTGAATTGCTTCCGTTTTAGTAAATTACTAGAATTGCATCACACACAGAATGCAGAATTTCTAGTAATTTATCAAATGTAAATAATCCAGCAAGAAAAGCTTCATGTACTGCTGGTTTAAGACACCATGTGTGTGCGTGCGTGTGTGCGTGAGAGAGAGAGAGAGAGACAGAGTGAGTGAGTGAGTGAGTGAATGAAAGAAATATTCATTTCCTATGATAAAAAGTTCAACTATTAATTTTTACCCTGTATGTGAGTGCATATCATGTGCGTGAGTGTGTCATATATTTTATATTTTGTTTTTTTTTTTTCCAGGAGGATCTGATGTTGATAAAAAATTTGCGATTATCTAGACGTAGGCCTACATTCCTAGATATCGCTTATAACAAGTAAGTTATGAATGTTTGGAGTTATCGAGATATCGATATTTATCTTGTTAATTCTGGTAATTGTTACTTTATTCCTTTTGCAGCTCAAGAGGTGTTTGGGATCCTGAACGTTGGCATTCAGATAGAAAGCGTAGCGATACACCCCCGAAAGAAGAAAGAACTGGACGTGGTGATCAAATCACTGAGAATCATAGCAAGCGACGTAATAATGGCGATCCACGAGACCGAATACGTAAAGAGCAAGACGGCATTGTTTTAAGTCCCCAACGGAGAAGTTTTAATTCGGGATGTTTTGTTAACGTAAATCAGCCTCCAAACCGGCGTCCGGAGAGTCCGATTGGCAAACCGGAAGTACGCAGTCATTTCACAATCAGTTTCTTTTTTATCATGCGTTTCTATCCATCTTCATATTTATATCGCTTTGTATTCTGTTTATAAACATAATTACGAAATACTTTACAGGTCAGTCATCGTGAACCTGTTCGTCGAATCGGTAGCGGCAGGATTTTGACACGGGATATATGGGACTTTAGAGCGGAAAATGAAAAAATCGATTCTGACCGTGCAGATTATGGTTTTAGATCAAGCACGGCTGCTGGTGGCTCTCTGCGTGATCGTGATAACAGAGATAATCGTGACGGGAAAGAACGGGACAGAGATCGTGATATGCGGGAAAGGGAACGCGATCGCGACAATCTGCGTGAGCGAGACGAGAGGTTTGAGCGGAGATCATTCGGCCGAGATTATGGAGATCGTGGCGAGAGAGAGCGCGATCGTGGCGACAGAGGAGTGGAACGAAATGAACGAAATAATCACCAAATGGAACGTGATAAGGATCGCGGACGCGAAAAGAGATTCAGTAACGATCGTCGACGAACTTACAGTGACAATCGCGATTCGGACGAACCAGAATGGTTCAGCTCGGGACCTACGTCGCAGCATGATACAATTGAGCTCAGAGGCTTTGAGGATATTCCGGAGGAAAAGGTAGTGAGCAGTGGTAATACCAAAAGTAAGAAACAAACTGCCGCACAAAAGAAACGGGGCAAGAGAAATGCCACAGAGAAAGAAGACAAATCGAATGAGAACTCGGCGGGCCCTAAAGGACGCAGCACACCAAATGTCATGGATCAACCTATAAATGCTGTACCGGCGCCACATTCTCCAATTACTGAACAAACTGAGCAATCTATCATTCAGAATAAAGAGAATGACGTCAGTGAGAGTACCGAGCCGACTTCCGAATCGGGTGAGAACTCTGGCGCAAATCAGAATCAAGAGGGCTCGCATCCAGATTTTAATCTCGATGAGTTCCTGAAATCTGATACGTTTCCTGGCGTCTCTGGATTATTGACAGTAAGTCATATAATATTTGTATCTCGAACATTCGAAATTATTTCGCTTCTGTATGTCAAACAATTTATTTCTTTTTTTATTTAGAATGGAGTTGGGTCGAATAGTGGTACTGGTTCGCGATTCAGCCAATGGTTTAAAAGAGAAAGTCCAGTTCAGCAGGTGGATAGTCGTAGAACTTCCATACAAGATGAATTGCTGAACAATTTATTGAATGACATCACCGAGCCAAATATTCAAATACCATCGGTAACGGAATCCAACACCTATTTCGCACCAATTTCTCCGGCCAACACGACGAATAATGCTAACACAACTACAAATGGCGTCAAGTTACTCGAAATGTTACATCGCGGTAATAAACCGAATCAAAATGGACAGGGTGACGCGAGTAATACTATACCTATGATGAAGAATTGTTCTATCAAAGATTTGGGTAAGATAGACATCATTTAGATAAATATCGTCATCGAATAAACAGATTATAGTGATACATGATAGGTATACATTTTTTTTCTAGAAGTTGGTGGCAAAGTTGTCCATAGTTTGGAAGAATTGGAAGCACGTATGCGAGGTGGTGCTCCTCCACCTGCGACTTCGACTGATGCACTCCGTGTAAATAAGACTGAAGATCTCTCCGCTTTTAAGAAACTGGTAAGGCAAATTAATACGATAATTTAACTTTATTCACAAAATGTTTTAACATAATTCTCATTTAGCTTGCTCAAGTGACTGGAGGACAAGCTGTGCCTGCAGCTAACGGACCTATCACCCATAAACAACCTGTAACATTAATGCAAGTAAGTTATATTTAATTTTTTTTTTTGCTAGTTAATTGACGCATATAATTTACATCTCTTTCATTCTTTGTTTCTCAGTTACTTAATTCACAATTGAAAACCCAACAATCATCGATGCCACATCAGCAACCGCCTGCAGAATCAATTCATACTACAACATTTAATCACGTCGGTCCCCTTGGTCCTACTCAACATCCCCATCAGGTTCAGATGCAACATGAGAATTTAATGAAAGTTTTGCAAATACAGGTATCACACATATATCATTCTTTGTTTAGTGATTAATGCAATTAATTTTGACAAATAAATATGTAATATCAACAGCAGCAACAACAACAACAACAACAACAACATCATCAGCAGCAGCAGCAGCAGCAACAAAAGCAGCAGCAACAACAACAACGACATTCTGATATGCTATCGATGATGATGGGTAATCAGCGGATGTTAGGTGTCAGTCCAGTGCCGGCGGAGATGCAAATGATGATAAATAATGTCCCATCGAGTCAAGAGCTTTTGCAACGACCGGAAGCTCAAGCAATTATTCAAGGTTTACAACAAGGGGAGATCACTAGGCAACATCTAATACAACAGTTGAATGTCAGTTATTTATGATTATTTGTAATAACTTACACATACGTGTGCGTGTGTGCTATAGGTATAGTAAAAAAAAAATCTTTAATTATATGAATTGTATCTTTGACAGAATCCTGCAATGCAGCATCGTCACCGAGAAGTACTGGCGAACATTTTAAAAATGTATGGTGGTACCACACCTCGTACGATAAGTCCGCATCCTCATTCTGCTGCTCCTATCCCTCAAGAGCACATTCTACAACAAATGCTATATCAGCAACAACAGCAGAGAATTCCATCTCCTATGAATAACGGTAAGAAATTTTACATTCTAATAATCCTTAAATCTTTGTTTCATCATCTAAAGGCTAATTAAAAATCCTGAAACTTGAATCTTTATTAAATTGAACGATTTTCTATTATATACGGAATGCAGCTTATTGTCCACCTCCGATAATATCACCAAATTTAACAACTAATCCTAGTACTTTAACAGTGCAACATCCAGGTAATATAATAAATACATTAAGCTCTGTATTTTGTAATTTTTTATTGTATATTATAATTTTTTATCTTTTATATACATAAATATTTTTATTTACATGAGAAAAATGCTACATAATAATAATAGTATAATACTTATACTAATTTTTAATAATAATATATTAATATAATTGATTAAGTAATTTTTTAAATTTAAATTATGTATTATTATATTACGATTATTGAAATTGAAAAAAATATTTATAAAATTTAATATTATAAATTATTGTTGTAGCAGTGATACCGCATAGAGTACCATCGCCAAGGGAGATTGTTATGCATACTCAGTCTATAATGCAAAGTGCTTTAATCAAGAAGAAGTTGGAGGAGCAGCGTGAGAATTTCCGTAAGCGACAGGATCAACAACAGCAGCAGCAACAACAGCAAGTTCAGCAGCAGCGCACATCGAGTCCCGTTAATTCACCAGCTAAGCAAACAGCGAGTCCGCTCGCTTTCACTCCAACCTCCGTTTTACGCAAAATGACTGCTGATAAGGAACCTGACGGTGTGAATCAATTCTGCCAAGTAGAAACGACCTCTTCTATTATTCATGCAATTAATGGAAATATTAATTCTCGCATGTCTCAAAATAATCATTCAATACATACCGCGGCTTCTATTAATCTCACTAAATTTTCTAATTCTGTCAATCAGGTGCAAAATGAGACACTTAAAATGATTTTTATGCATTCTGCTATAGCTAATCATCTAAATAACAATACCACTTTTGATGCGGAAGAATCGGCATTAAAGACCAAATATTTGTGCGCATTACAGCAAAAAAAAGATACAGAAAATAATTCAAAAATTAACACAACGAAGGAAAATGTTTTCCTTGATGTTAATGAAAATGCAAACGACGATACAAAAACAATAAAATCTGATGTAGTAGATGATAACGATACCAACAATAATGGTTGTGGTTCGCTTGATGAGACGCTAAAAAAATCGTCTGAATTAGAAATGTTGGTAGACGAAAATAAAGTGACCGCATCTACATCATCAGACGAGATAAAGAACGTTGATTTGCAAAATGTTACTTTACTCACAACCAGTGAAGATGTCTAATTGTGCTGTTACGTCGATGAGGAGTTTGATAAAGTGCACATTAATATTTCATAAAATAGCAAATTCTTAATTGTTGTTTAAAGTTATATTTTTCTTTTTATTTTTGCGTTATAATGAAAAGCAGCTGTTTTGTTTCTTCGTTTAATGTCCGCGGCGTGGTTTAAAAGGTTTAATATGACATATTTTGAAATATGATTTTTATTTTATATGTAATTAAAAAATGCACTTTATGAAGTAAACTCTTCATTTCTTAACATAGATTTATTACATTTTGGAATAGAATGTTAAAATAGTTTTTTTTATAATAAAAAGCTTTATTGATCCTATCTCATCTGCTTTAACTTTTCTTTTTTTACACTCGCTCACACTTTCTCCTATTGTTGCATCTTTTTATCAATATATATATATATAGTGAATTTACTATTTTCATTTTCTTAATTGCCATATTTCTGCTTAATCTTTATGCTTGCCAAAATTGCATGCGCTATTATAGAAAATAAATGTAATACAAATAAATGTTTAACAACAGTTGTATTAATCATTGTTCTTATGAAATTATTACAATTGCAATTAATAATATTGCATTTACAATACAGTTTTCACAATATAATACTATATTCTCTCACACAAAGTATAATTTTGTGTAATTATAATATATAAAAAGATGATTATGAGATAATTGATAGAAATTAGTAGAAAAATGGTAGAATGGAGAACTTCAATGAATAATATTTAATAAAAATTTAATTAATTTACGAGGTGTGTATGTATATATATTTATTTGTGCGTGCGCGCGCGCGCGCGCGCGTGTGTGTGTAAATTTTATTAAAAAATAACACAAATTTAAGCATTTAACTTTGATAAAATTATTAATTGTTTATACTGCTAGACGTTACATTTTTTTTAAAAAAAGGAAAACATTAACATTAAGAAAGCATTAACATTTGTATTTATATCAAATGTTCAATTATAAAATCAAGAAGTTTATCATTATAAAATTGTATATCTGTATGTAGGAAGCAGCAATGAGCCACCCAAACTGTCTACGCAAACACAGGCTTCTCAGATGCAACAAATGCAATCAGCTGCAGTTCAATTACTTGCACAGGGAGCTCTGTCTCGACATACTGCATTGCGATCGCAACCCATTCAATCGACATGGTCGAATCCATCTCTTAAACAACATCCAGGTTAGTATTTCTTTAAATATTTTATAAAAATATTGTAGAGAATTTTTTTTATTTATTTTCGTAAGTATCGTCCAAACAGTTTTTTTATGATCAGCAATATGGTGTACCTGTTAACTACTTTTAATGTTGCATTTCTAATTTCAGGCCGACCTATAGTTAAAGGTAATAATAGCAATACTAACAGCAATCAGTTCCAATATAATACGGGAAATGCAGAATTTCAACAACAACATAGAACAGTGCCGAATGTTTACGGCAATCCAGCACGATCTAAGCACACAATGGCAACTTCGTTACCGCATCATAATGCTCCACAATATAATATAGCGCAGAACTCGATTATGAATCAGAGATCAAATCCTATGAATACCCAGATGAAGACACAGCAAGTCCCAACGCATCTCGCTAATATGCAACAGCCACCACCGCACGGAACTGTTAACATGCAACAACCATCACAGAGGACTATAAATACGCCTATGCAACTTGTCATGAGCCAAAACTACAATTCTAATCGCACAGGTAATGATTTGATGAAATATACTAACTACGAATGTTTTGAAATAATTTTTAACAAATCGAACGATCTCCAACTTCTACTTATCAACATCAATATTTACTAAAATTCCCTCTTTATCCTATTTACATTAATTTTCAGGTGTTTTTTCCTTTCCAAATCAAATTGTATGCAATGGTGTTCAGAAATCGGAAAAATAAACTATTCTCTCAGCTCTCCTACATTTAATTTTATCATGACATCATTTATCCTCCTTTGGATTAAACTAAGTAAACAATTATTAACTACATTGAAATGCTTTACGCTAGAAAATAATGCTATAGTTGTAAAATATGTAAATAAAATCGGCAGATTATTCTCGTTTCTTGTAATTAATTTGCATATATCTAAATAGCGATAATATTTGCCTTGGTTTTTTTAAAACGATATTTTATTACAATACTGAATTATATGTGCAGATGGACAAACTATGCGATCGCAGCAGTTGAACATGGCGGTCGGTCGTCAACCTTCACCAGGCCTCGGATTTGTGGGTAGTAACGGAGGTGATCTTTCACCAACATCTAATCAACTTGCGCGATGGTTCAGTCCAGAGCTTCTCGCACAAGCTCGGGCTGGCAAGCTTCCAGAGCTTGCACAAACGAACGTCTTGTCATTAGAAGAGCTCGAGAGACTTCAACATGCATCAACTATAGTGCATAACTAAAGTGCATAACACCTGATTCAAATTACGTTTCAGTTTTACAAGCACGAAATTACACTGGTAACGCTACTACTGAGCGGAGAATAGGTATTCTTTGTATATTCTCCTTTATGTTCGAAGCACTTGTGTAATATCTACACGGAAGTTGCTGAATACACGTCGTTAAATTGGTGCTCGCCTACATAGGTCTTTTTATCAAGTCTTCGTATCGACAAAAGGTTTATCGAAGTATTGCCATGTGTTTCGATTAGGAATAGAGTCAATTAATCAGTTAAATGATATTTATTTTTCAAAAGATCTTTCTTTTATCAAAAAAGGTTCTTGATATCGTTTGTGAAGCCATTTTTCCAAGTTTCGCGGAATGTTATTTAGAAACTACAAATGTACAGAATAGTATATGATATAGAACGAAGCGTTAGGAGGAGGAAATGAATACAGCTTTCTACAAAAACGACGTATCATTTATAAGACTGAAAAAAGTGAAAATTTTTTTTGTTGATTATGTGACAAGCTGTTAGAGCTTCAGTGCGTACTTTCTAAATGACATCATCGATAAGATCTATTTGCCTAAGATAGAACTGCAAGTTTCTTATGTACTCTATGCTTTGTTATTTAACAAGAATGAAAATTATCTGGTGACTTGAGCAAGTAATTTCAATATGTTTTTATTCAGAACATATCTGTTCTAATCTTTTTTTTCCTCGTTAGTTATAGATATCACACGAGGCTATACAATATATTGTGATTATATTTTACTACTTCATAAGTACTAACTATTGCACGATTACGTTATTCCTTAAATTTGGAACAAAGTAAAATGATGTTTTTATTACTGTCAGCACAAGCATAAAAATATAGTCTACAATACTATGTGTGCGTGCATGCGTGTGTGTATGCGTGTGTCAAATACAAAAATGTATTGTTGTTGCCAACGACAGCAATAAGAAGTAGATAATCGATACATTTAATGTGGTATTATTTATGAAGTACATCGCGCTTGCTTATTTATAATGGGACTTGCAAAAACCCTTAGGCAAATAATACGCAAACTCCTCAAACTTTTGAATTGCAAGCTCTAGCATCTGATTACAATTACTTACACAGAGAGTGGTGGTGTATTTAATATTCTATTCGTATTTCTGCAAACAATGCGATCTTATTAACACGAAAAGCGTACGAAATAAAATGAGTATGTGACATCACAAGTCAAACATAAAAATAAATATATAATATATACTTCTCGTGTGTAGAAGAGCGCATGAGAGTGCAAAGTTATTGTCATGGTCGAAAGTGTGATATATAGAACGAACTTTCTTAATAAAGAAACTCGGAAGATATATAGAAAAGTCGTTCACAGAACATTAATTAAAGAAAATGAGAACATTCCACCAGTTAATAAAGGATCATATTTTTTGAACGAAATAATTTTGAAAATATTGATCGACATTAATATTGTTGCTATGTCATGCATTTGCTTTTCATTTAATTATTCATTTCAAAATTATAATTTCTACACGAAAAGAGGATATGTATGTATATCGGACCAGTTTTAAAACGATGACTTCTGTTATAAGTTTATCTCATCTTACATTTTGGAAGAAAATAATATTTTTTACTGTTTAACTATGCATTAGAGTCTCATGTGCAAATAATTGCATTTTTTTTTTTTTGTACGTTAAGAATGCAATGAATTATAAACTCTTCATACTTTTAATTATAGCTTGAGAACCAAAATAATTTACGTAAAAAACAAGTATTTGCATAAAAAACAAAACAAAACATTAGAATTTTATATCAAAATGTATTTATCTTTATTTTTTATTGCTTAACATTTACATAAATGAGTTACCTAGTCTAACTTTTAAATATTGATTACATTGATAGTTTACTTTAGTGCATATGATTGCATACATATACAATTGTATGGGGATTTATATAGGAATACGAAGTAAATTCATATATTTTAAATCTCAGACGAAAAACACAAACTTAATTTTTGTATTTATTTTGTGCTTGCGCGCAAGCACACACACACAAATAAAATTATAAACTCAGGTTGCGTAAAACATGCAATTACGAAAAACGTCCTAATAGTAGACTATATATGTAGATATATCGTAAATATTATTTGCATCAGTGGTACATTAATTCGCATTTACACGTTTACTTTTGCTATTAGATCTGGCTCTCTCTCTCTCTCTCTCTCTCTCTCTCTCTCTCTCTCTCTCCCAAAGTTAATCAACACATACGTAAAACGGGACGCTTTTGGTAACTAGCCGATCTCTCTCTGAATACTTTATTTATATAAACACAAGAGACAAGTAAGTCTTTTTTGTACGTTTGTTATCTGATACATTCTCTGATGATGAGAAATTATTCTTTATAATATGACAGTATTTTATAAAAGATACAACTCATCTTTAAAACACACACATATAAATTCTATTTCTAACACTTATTTCACAATGGACTAGATTCTTAACCGATACATTAATATGTAAATTATCTACATATATCAATTAGATATACACTACTCGCATTAATTAAAGCATCACCTCTCACACCTTCGAAAAATTGGTAAACTTTAAATGAGTGTAACTTCTACAAAAATAGTCAAAATGAGACTTTCAAACAAGTATTTTGTAGTTTGAAATCTCTACTTTCGAAGTTTTATAATTTAAATTTCAATATGACTGATACTTTACGGAGTTATACGGACACAAATGGATATCCGTCAAATCTAAAAATTTTTTACAAACTTTACAAAGGTCTATGGCATGAGATAAAAATTACACGAAAATGCGGTTTGCAGCATTGGAAAGAGTGAATCTTTACCTTTAATTTGCTTTTTTATTTAACGTTTTATTTAACGATTTTTTTTCACCGAGTTATTCAACATTGAATTAAAAATGGTCCCTTTGACGTATAACTCCGTAAAGTATCAGTCATATTAAAATTTCAATTATAAGCTTCGAAAGTAGAGATTTCAAGCTACAAAATGCTTTTTTGAAAGTCTCATTTTTACTATTTTTGTAGAAGTTACACTCATTTAAAGTTTATCAATTTTTCGAAGGTGTGAGAGGTGATGCTTTAATTAATGCGAGTAGTGTATATAAATATATTTAATATAATGAAATATATATATATGAGATATGTATAGTGGAACACGCATATTTTATATATATACATTATAATAAAAAAAAATTCAAAAATGCAAAAAAACTGCTCATGAGACTCTAACGTTATGTTAAATATACTTATCGCGTTCATATGATCGAGGGAGTTATATGGTACAAACTTGTATGCTTACAACGAGAGCGAGCAAGCGAGCGAACGAGCATTTTCGTTTATCGAGCATTTTCTCATCTAGCGAATGTATCAAAGACTATCTTTCAGACTCTATATCTTGGATTGATTTATCACCGTAAGTTTACTTCAAGCGTCCATGAGTATACAAAGTGCATTAGAATGAAGGGTAAAAAGAATTTAAAAATTATTCAACCATGATATCTACATGCAAGTATCTGCGAAAGAAGAGAGATTAGAATTTCCGATTGCTATGCTAATGTTATTTTGCTGTACGTGAAAAAAGGAAGCGAGAGGTATCGAATGTATAGACATAAAAGCAGTAAACGTGTATTATGTGTAAAAATTGGTTTCTTAATATGTTTGCTGTCCATCACGCGCTACATTCAGTTGATGTGAGCAAGCCGATCGAGCTTTGAATGTAAAACTGTATAGTTGTGTAGGCATTACGTGAAGATATTGTTTTATATTGTTCAGTGTTTGAGTTTGTATTTTTTAAATTTGATTTTTTTTTTGCAGATTGTAAATAACTTTAATGAAATTAGCTTCGAGAGGTGATGTTCTTTCAGATGGGCAGCGTATGTGTCGATAGAGAAGCACGATACAAAATGGAGCAAACAGTTTTTAACGAGGAATTCTTAACGTTGTCGTTAGATGTTCCAACACTAGAACGATCGAGACCGTCTTGTATCGATTTTGAATGATATGACTGCGATTCAAAATCGCTACGTTACGGCTTTCACTGAATTGTGTTTTACATAATCTGGTCTAATTTGCAATTTTATTTTATTATTTAAAAAATATTTCATATTTTATTTTTAAAAATTATATTCGAACGATAAAGAAAAGATTGGAAAAGTTGATCGTCCTAGCGTAACAAAACGTAGAGACTCGTGTGAATCCGCGTTTCTTCGACGAATATAATGTTTGTCGGCTTGGTGGTAGCGATTTCTATTCTTTCGAGACGAAGTATTATTACGTTTTCAGCAGCGTATCGTATATATACATTTAGCTTCGCGTTTCTTGGATGACGACGAAGCTTGTTTACCAATATTTGGTGGAAGAACAGAAGCAGAGAAATTGTACGAGATGCGTAAAGGAACATTCAACATTCGATCTTTTTATAAGACACAATTGCAGTGATTACACTTCTACTTTCATTAAATGAAACGTATTTGCGAATGAGACACTTGTCGGATCACATTTGCGGACATAAAAATTGTTCCGTAACTCGAAAACACGTTTTTGTAAATAAATCGATTCCCGAGCAAGCGCTAAAAGTACATTTAGTCTATGCATTATGGGTCGATGACTTGTAAATAAAGTTACTGAATATTATATTACGTGAAGTCGAGAAAGAAATGTCACAAATAAATATAAGGAATTGCAATTATTATCCTCGTCACGCCATTCGAAATAACTCGATATCATTTGTACAATATATATTTGGTTGTAAGATTAAGTGATTTACAAACTTGATTTATTTATGATTTAATTAGAGGTCTGTTACTTGCACTTTTTGTATTCAATATCTTCACTTTCTCTTTTCAATGCCCGATTTATTTCTCTCGTATTTATTACAGGCAACGTAAACAGATATTAAACCTAAAATGTTTTAAAAATAGTCTAATATCTGCCAGATGTTTCTTTAAAATTGTAAAGCAATTCAATTATGCATGATAATTTCAGGCTCTATGCATAATGGAGAAAATCTTAGGAAAGGAAATAAATATTAAATATATTACAACAATTATATATTAGACCAAGTATAAACGGTCAACGTCAAGCTAAATCTTCAGTGCGCGCTGAATTCAATTTTTAGTCTTGAAAA